TATTTAAGCAGAATTCAAGTCCACACTTTTATGTGAAAGCTTTATTTCAGTTAGCCACACTCCATAAAACACACCCACTGATTATTAGCTCCCCATATTTATGCAACCAATTCAAACCCAATTAACTCTTAATTAATTTATCCATCACTGTTCACTCATTCCATTAGGTCTCAGGTATCCCTTTAGACAATATTAGAAGAGAACAGATTTTTTTCTTTTTAGATAAATCAAATGAAAATAATTCTAAAAATTAACAAAATATACAAATGACAACAGATTATATTCTCGTCTTTCCCTTTGCACATTAAAGTTCCAAGCGTCCTTCTTCCAGGATGTCCAACAGTTCCTTGGAACTTGCTTCTGCATTATGAAACGATCAGATAGCCAACTGCTGCTATCCACCCATTTTGATTTAGAGGTATCTCCATTCTGCACCATTTGTTTTAAAACTGTATTATTGATTTTATGTCTTTTCTCATTCACACATTCTGTACAGTGTATGTTATCCCATTGTGACTTATCATCAACGTAGCACCCTATGGGCATTGCTGCTGAAATTTCATTTCAGAATTTGCTCAGTAAATGCCATATCTACTGCCTCACCAAGATTGAAAATCTCTGCCACTAAGAAACTTTTTAAAACTTTTCTGATATTTTTAGCTTCCCAAACTAAAGGGCAATGTTTACTTCCCTTTCCCATGAGAAGATATAAACCCTCATGTACCTGAGAACCCATTACAGAGGGTTGCACAAGAAGCATCAGTAGAAATATGTTTCACGTTCCTTGCATCTCCCAATGATGAAAATTTCAAATTATAATGATCAATTTTTAATTTTTTTCAATGCTTTGTTGGCCTGAATAATATCTTCCACTTCGGGATTTTTTTTATCCTATACTCAACTCTCATACTTCAAAACTGGCATCTGGTTTTGTTTGGGTGCCCAGTCAATTCAACAGTCCAATTAGACTTCGCAGTTCCTCCATTTCAGTATTGGAAACAGTCGCATCTTTTTGTGAAGTTCTGCTTTGTCTAGCAGCAATAGGGATAACATTTTCCAAATATGTTTGCTGACGCAAAGTGATCATTGATCCATTCCCCTTGATTTCTAATTCAATATACTTAAAAGCCCCAAAAGCCATCACTTAGGCCATATGCATATTTATTTAACTTTCTGAGGTATTGTATTGCCCTTAATGGGCTCTGCATGTAAATTGAACAATTGGAAACAGCGGTGATTTACTCGTGGTGAGTTAACTGATGAAAAATACCACAGATGATTTTTGTTCAGATATAGAAGAAACAAAAATCTTCCAGGTGCTTCTGGTGTCTCTTTTAGAGGATGAAGGAACATTCCCCCTTAAGCTGATCTCTCTGCAGAGATGCAACTTTAGATCATAGATCATAGATCACAGAATCCCTACAGTGTGGAAACAGGCTATTCGGCCCAATAAGTCCACACCACCCCTCCGAAAAGCATCCCACATAGACCCATTCCCCTACCTCTGGATTTCTCATGTCTAACCCATCTAACGTAAACAGCCCTGGGCACTATGGACAATTTAGCATGGCCAATCCACCTAGCCTGCACATCTTCAGACTGTGGGAGGAAACCAGAGCACCTGGAGAAAACCCAAGCAGACATGGGGAGAATGTGCAAACTCCACACAGTCAGTCACCCGAGGCTGGAACTGAACCCGGGTCCCTGGCGCTGTGAGGCAGCAGTGCTAACCACTGAGCCACTGTGCCGCCCAAAGATTTTCCTGGAGATGGCATGTGACTTCAACCTCAACGTCAGCTGCTATTAATTTTCAATAGGTCAAACTACCATTTTTAGAGAAACACCTGAAAAGTGACTTGAACCCTGAACCTTCAGATCTAGAGCTCAAATGCTCTGCCAACTGCCGACAGACTCACTTTATTATCAATTGATCTACACTCCCAAGCATTTGTTACTAACCAAGACAAAAACAATTCAAAATTGCTTTTCCTCAGCAATTATTTCCTTACAGCTTGTTGCACAATTTTTTCTTCAAACTCTTGTGTCACTAACCTTGCTTTAGCCTTAAGGATCATCCTTTTCGGTGTACATCCACCTGTGATAAGGACTGGTTGTCTGCTATCTGGTGTTTCTATGTATGCCTCAATTTCTCTCCAGCTTTGTAGTTTGCGTTACTTGGCATCTTTTAGTAGCTTGTTTTCTAGTATGCTCACGACCGACCTTTTTTACTCAGTGTCTTGGTAGCATTTTAGTCAATCTGTTCTACACACAGTGAAAGTGCATCCACTGTCCAACACTGCACAATTGAAAGACACCAATATATTCCTCACTTGACAGAAATTTCTTGTGACCAATAAAATGCCCTCTCTTTGTCTGTAACGCCATCTTTCCCTGAATCCTCCATTTCACGTTTGGTTTTAAATACTTTATCACATTTAGTACGGTTCATAGCATAGTGGTACTTTGAGTCACACTAACATCAAATAATTACACCCTAAGCACTTCTAGCACTTACTGAAAATTTCAAATTCTCTTTGCTTCTCAAAATCATCAACGGCATTTTTATCCTCATTTCTATCAGTTGTAGTTCTCCTTTTGTACTGTTGCCTGTGACCTATATTTAGTCAGTCTCACCAATTTGTTAACATTGTATCCTTCATTTTCTCAGTATATTGCCAACTGCCCCTTTGTGCTATCGCTGCTGCTGAGAAAGAATGCTTTCCTGGGAATGTTTTCAATGCTTCTGACATTTTTTTCTAGTGTAGGTAGTGTATGTTTATCTGAAAACGTAACTCCCATCAAAACTAGAAGTCTGTCCATTCTTGATACTTTGGTATTGGTCCATTAACTCCATTCGTTTAAATGCCAGCACAGATTGTGGAATTTCCGAACGATATTTAAGTAGTGGTGCATAAAACCTACTAAATTCCATTTTGCATTCTTCTGTAGTACTAAACTCAGTCTTTCTAAATGTTTTAAAATCACATCTCAACAGCCAGTATCTATTTGATTAATTTTAACCACAATAGTTAACAATCTGTCTGACTCTCATTCATACTCAAATGATTAGACTTCAACTCATTGTTTATCTTGTTCCTAAGTGGTAATGAAAGTGCTACGGCCACGTATTTCTTCCTCTTTGGCAAGGAAGTAACCCAAGATCCACGCAGTAACTTTATTATTCTACTGGTCACAAGGTTTATTTTCAGAAATCAAGGATCAGTAATCATACCTCCTTAACTTTACATTTTGAATCAACCATCCTCTGCAACAATGTCATGCTCCAAAAGATATCTGTGTTCAAAGAGTTCAAGTCCACACCTTTCCGTAAGAGCTTTACTTAAGTTGGTCACACTCTACGAAACACTCACCTTCCCAATTACTAGCTCCCCATATTTATACAACCAATTGAAACCCGATTAACTTTCACTTAATATATATGTATTATCTGTTCCTTCATACCATTAGGTCTCTGGCAATCCTTCAGACCATATTTGATGAGAACATTACATATCCAACATTTCCATCCTAACACTTCCATATTCAAAATTCTATTCTGACTGACCTATACTAGCTCTCCATCATACAGTTCATTTAATAATTCATCTAAAAATACCTTCATGGACACCTCACCCAGTCAGTCTTAACTAGCTCTATGTGCCTCCACCTAAAGTCTTCTTTAAATCTCTCTTTTTCCTTCAAACCACCAATGGTTCTCATACACTTTCAAAACCTTTATACTTTTATACCTTTGTCTCTGACTTTTAAAATGTTCTCAGAGCTCTTCTTGTCAACTAATCTTCAGTTACCCCTCCTATTGTCATTCTTCATGATTTGACACCTTTCTTCAAATACAATATATTGTTATGGAATGAATTTGAGCTCTTTTTAAAACAGAGTAAGCAGTATATGAAAGTTATATCGTTCTGAACACAGGGATATATGTTTTCCCAAAATGCTTGGGTTGAAGCGGATGGGGGTAGAAACACAAAAAAAAGGGTGCACTCAATCTAAATCACTTATACATTGTTCATGAGTCACACAGCAAAGAGAACAGGGCTAGCTAGTCATCTGGTGATGTTACATGCAGGAACTGAACAGCAGAGCAAGAAAATAAAATATTTGTCCATGTTTTCCCTCCTAAGCAACCACCAACCTTGCTTAGATATGGCTTCAGTCACTCCCAATTCTCTCAACAAAAAGGCACTCCTGTTTTTAACCAAACAGACACAGGGTGCCTCAGCCAAGAGTGTTAGGAGGTTCTTTACTGCAGATGGCATTAGAACTGTGTCTATTTTCACCAGGCAGCCCCACACAATTTCTAAAAGCAAGGATAAACAGTGATCAAGAGCCAGAAACCTGACACATTTGTTTTCTGTTTGCAGTACAAGGGCACTGAGTCCAATTTATGCACTCAAAAACAATGTTTTGGATAAACTAGGAATAAAAAATGTACATTTTATTTCACACTAACTTTGGTTTTGTCCTATTTTCAACACTTTTCCATACATGCCTTGAAAAAATAAAAGTGGATTTGTACCCATTTTCTTCCTTCTTGTTTTCTACATATCCTAACATTTTTCATAGGTCATATGCACAACAGCTACTAACGACTGACTCTGGAACACTTTGCCTGAAAGCTGAAAAAACAATTTTATTTCTTTTGGAGCTATGAAAGTTCATATAATGACTATAATTTTTTAATCATATCACTTTCTCTCCCTCATTAAAATATACATCACAAAAATTTAACCACCTTTTAATATAAAAAATTAAAAACGATAACCTATTTTGTAACTCTAATTGCTTCAATGGAAATAAGACAAGAATTCACAGCTGTGTGATTAAATCATGGGAAATATTCCCTACTTTGTATAACAAGAGACCCCCTGCTTGTCAGAGTTTGAAGAGCCAAGGTTTTCAGATGACATTTCAATAACTGGAACACAGCATTACAAATCCATTCCCAACTTTACTGAAACAATTATTGAAATTATTACCTTCAGGCCATGTATGTTCCGTTTCCCAGGTGGCTTGCAGGCTGAAACAGTAATTGACTAAATTGCAGAACACATCAGGGCCATTTACAAATTTGTTAAAAATGAATCATTTGAAAGAAATGAGACTGACACCAAAATTAGCAGCTGAAAATGATGGAAAAGGGGCTCAAAAGCCTATACAGGGAATTTTTAAAAATTGATCCCATCTTGCAAAACTGAACACTGAAAAAAACAAGACAATATATGAAAAAGATATAAAGTATAAAAGGCAAATAAAGATTAACAGATTATAAATATAAAGAGAATTTAAATCCTCATTTCTACCATTTAGAAACCAGATTAAGCTAATATGTGGGCAAATAACATACTTAACTACAGAATTCATTGTCAAGGTTGATAAATTATAATCAAGGTTAATATTTAAAATGCTTTTTTAAAAAAGTTTGTTTTGCTTAAGCAGATGAATGGAGCAGTTTGTCAGTTACATTTCACAGGCATCAAAAGAGTCAATAAAATGTTGTCAAGAATTGTGATCTATTTCAGTGCTTTCGTTAAAAGCTGTTTTAAATTGAGTCTAATGGCCTCATATTTTGCGGGGGCGGGGGTGGAGAAAGGTGGGACTCATTTGAATAACTGAAGTCCAAATGAAGATGGACCCACTAAATCATAGCATTTCAACAAGGTTGTAATTTCAACTGTTACATGTTGAATTCAACTAACCCGCAAGATGCAGCGACCTTTCTGAAACAATTTCACCAATGACGTCATTACTCATTGTTTAAACAATCTAATTTAAGGGAAAAGAATCAAATAAAATACTACTAAAAGTTAACTATGATTCTTGGTAGACAGAATACTAAGCAACAGTCCTTTTAAGAATAGTCAAATTAAAGTTTATTTAACTGGAAAAATTTGCAAACTTGATTATTGTCTCACCAAAGCAAATTATATTTTCTGCACCTTCTCCAAGATGATGGTATGCCATGAGATTGAAGCAAACAAAGTAAAATAGCCAAATCAAAGTGCAGCAAAGTTTAATTTTAATTTTATATTTCTAGCTCACTAAGTTTTGAATTTGTTTATAGAGATAACCTTGTATTCAGTTCTTGGCCTGTTCCATTAGCTCATCTGAACCAGTTCTGTGGTCATAACAACACAACTAGGTTCAGTGCCCATGGTTAGTCGTTCAAAATTTGCCATAATTTATGTACCTGGTCACCATCCAGTCACTGTTATTGATAATACACATGTGGCCAGCAAGTTAACACCAGCATTTGGCTCACTGATGAAACTGATCACAAGACTACTAACCAGTTGGGCAAGGTACCACCACCCGTTTTGTGTGAAAAACAACTAGCAGAGATATTGAAAAATGTATATAGTGCATTAATAATAAAGCAAACTACTGCACATGCTGGAAATCTGAAATACGAACAAAAAGGGCAAAAAATTCAGGCAGTCAGTTAGAATCTGTGGATAGAAATAGCATTAACATTTCAAGTCAATGTTCTTTCATCAACACTGAAGAGAAAGAGATTTAAAAGTTTTTAAGCCAGTTGAAGGGAGGAAGAGAAAGGAACAGCAAAGGAGAAGATTTGTAATAGGTGGTGATTTCATAACACAATTGCCAAAAAGGAATTTCAGGAATCTTTCTGAGAGGGTATTTATGACTTAGTGTCTCAACTGTTATTAGCAGTGAACATACACTGTTCAGTTTAAGACTCTAATTTGGAGCAGTGGGAGTTGAAAGCATAGTAAAATTTTCTAAATTTAGGTTTAGTTATTTAAATATAAAATAATCAATTACTGAACTGAGAAGCAAATCATTTTAAAACCTTACTGGTAATCTAATTTCGCTTTTAAAGCTGTACGGAAAGTGGAACCCTCTACCTTACGCTCTTAACTCCAAAATGGATTTTATCATTTCTTGATCTGGACACCAAGAAGGCATACTGTATGCAAATAGATTTCTTAATGTTGGGAGAGGATCACACATGAACAATCAGTTCTAATGATGGTTTAGAAATATAAAACTAATCTTTAAATGCCATTGCTTCCCCTAATCCAGCACAAGGGAAGCTAGATCATTCAAGAGTCTAAACAAGTAGCATGTTATCACAAAAATGAGTGCTGACAGCTGAAAAACTCCTTCCAAAAGGGTAGACAGAAATAGAACAATTGAAATATTCTAAATTGAGATAGATGCATTTTTTGAGAGCTAAGGGCATATGGAGAAACAGTGGTGAATGGTGTTGAAGTGCAGATCAGTTTTGATCTAATTAAATAGTGGAGGAGACTGGAGGGGCTGAATGGCATACGCACTTCAATATTTGATTTTCATCAAAATATAGGCCAATATTTAGTACTGTTCATCAAGTATATCAATCAATATATTTTCAGTGCTTTGTCAACAAAATTGCTCAGCCGAAAAGATACATTTAGCCCAGTGGCTACTTAAATTTTAGTTACGGAGTCATTTAACCATTATTTCAAACAATGACCATTATAACCCAAATGTCAAATAGCAGAATAATCCAATTAATTACATTGAGTATAAAAGAATATTTGACAGCATCAAAGAAGAAATTCACAAACAAGGCATTTAGATAAAGCTGAACATTTCAACACTGTTGAAAATGTTTTAAGACACCTGGATTCCAAGATTAGAGTGCTGTATTCATTTTCATCTGGATATGTAATAAATACAAAAATGGGCTTTAATCCAATTCCATCCATACTGTGTAACAGCAAAATGCAACTTAGAAATTCTGCTGCTTGAACAACTAACAGTGCTGATTTAGTTTCATTTTTTAAACCATCTGGCCTTTGTGACAGTATCTTAAAAATAAGCCAACTGAGCATTTCACACAATTAAAGGAAAATAATGTGAATAGCAGCTAACTCATCAAGGTGTCCAGACGACCTGAAAGCTAAATGAGCAATTAGAACAGTTAGCAAGAAAAATATTCTAGCCTTTAAATCCTTCCTATACATTCATTACACAAAAAAACTGGGGCATTTGTTGTTTTATTCTTCATTACATTCCTTTATTTGCTAGAAATTGGCATGGCTGGCATCAAGGATAAAACATACAAGTGTGGTCACATCGTATCTGCTTACAATATTGTATCCATGCATGAGCATCAAAGGTAATAATTTGGCTTAACTATTAAAGATGTTTTAAGAAAGAACAAGATAAACACAGATGCAGACTTTTAGGCATCTTCTTTTACTTTAGGTGTGTAAATGTAAAGTCAGTCTTCTTACCTCGTGGATATATCTGTAGTGGTTCAATCATTTCTCCATTGACTTGCTGCTCTGTTACAGTGGTATAATACTGAAAAAGCAAACATAAAGACAAATATATTCATCCAAGTTTAAATAAAATGTAATTATTGAGTCTTTCAAACTTACAAAGAGGTAAACTGAATAGACAGCTTAACATTTTCAGGTACCTTCTACGATCTCTAGTCATGCTACACCTTTAATGATGCTGAAAATAGTACAGAAACATGGACATGGTAGCAGACTTGGCCAAGACAGCGGAATACTTGATCATGATAATGAATGCTAACATTTTTTGACATTGAATGAGAGGAGTGGGGAAGTGAGTTCCAGGTAGCTGGAGAAAAAAGTGACTAAAAACTCCATTGGTGTACAGTTAGTCCAGATAATCAAAAAGACAGGGTCACAGGATTAAGGATGCAGCAGGGGATACAATGCTGAAAGGAATTGCAGAGATTGGATGGACTGAGGCCAAAGGACAATTTGAGGATAACAAGACAAAGTTCAAATTCAACCTGTTGGGATCTATGGAACCAACATAAATAGACATGCCCAGGGTAATTAATTAGTTGCAATACCAGAGACGATATGAACAATTGAGTTTTAGATAAATTATGAGTTTATTAAGGTGAAAGTTGGAGGTTAGGAAGCCAACAAGGGGGCTAGTGAAGAAATTTCAAGTCAGGGCAAGAAAAGAATTGGTAAGGGTTTATTGGGAATTATGAGGGAAAATAGCATTCTTGCAGAAATGGGACTATAAAATCTTGATAGTAGATTGGACATGACATTTTCAGCTTACCTGCAAGTGAAAAAAATTTGCTATGGTTTTCTACGCTCTGGTCTAAATGAGTAGCTGCAGAGAGAACTGTAATCCAGTGACACCGGGACCTTTTCAGTATTCGACTGGAAACTTTGATATCAAAGAGGTAGTCTAACAACAGAATAATTCTTAGGTCATGAGATGTGCTGAAGAGCAGGGTATGTATTATATACATACACATGGAAGTTGATCTACCACCTGCTGGTAATGTTAACAAGACGCAGTGTATAAATGAAAAACAGGACATGGCCTAGACTGATTCTTGGAGACTCTGGGGTGGGGGGGATAGTGTAGCAATTTGAAGAGATGCCATTGCTGCAGATATGGTGACACTGTTTTGACCTGTAGGAGTTTGACCATATGATTGTCTATCCTATTTTGTCCAGCAATATGTTAGCCATATCAAACATTACAAAATGGATGATAAGGGATAATGCACAAAGTAGCAGTCACAGAGAAAACCATTATACAGTTAGGTAGGGCAATGCAAACACTGAGCAGGCAAACTTGAACGTAACTTGAGGGATTTAAATTACTATTTAAAGTCATAATTATTTTTTGTCAATAGCATGGTATAGTTGAACACTATACAAAGAAAATGGAGATTAGAGATGGATGGCAACTGAAGAGAACAGATATGTGGATTATGGATAGATGTTTTGAAGTAGGATAATGATAGTGATAGAAAGAAGATCATCTGATGAAGGATATTTATCAAAAATATTAATGCTTTTTCTCTATGGTACAATTCTAATATTTTCAGGTTTTTAGGATTCTGCGGTTTCATTTTTGAGAACATCAATTGTACAAATTAAAAATAACTATTGTTGAACCAGTTTGTTTCTTTGGCCATTTTATACACTAATTAAAAAGCAATATTAATATAGAAAGGCAAAATTATCTAAATGTAGAGAAGACTCAGAGTGCTTTGGTGCAGAGGTACGTCGGTGTCCTAGTGCATGAATCCCAGAAAACTGTTATTGTAATTTATGTCAAACAGGCAAATAAATTGAATTTTGTTTTTATAATAATTAGTACTATCATTGTCATAATTGATTCAATTTTAATTTGGAAGAAAGCAGTATTTTAAATCTCAACATCTAAATTTTGAGAGTTTGGTAATCCAAGTGACTCCACAAATCAAAGGATGTTGATCTCTACGTATTACCAATTTTCTTATTTTGCAAATGTTTAGTATGCAGGTACAGCAGGTAGTAAGAAAGGCAAATGGAATTTTGACATTTATTGCTACAAGAATAGACTACAAAAGTTGGAAAATATTGATGCAACTGTTAAAAGCATTAGCGATACCACCCCTGGATATTGTGTATGGATTTACTTCTCTTACTTGAGGAGGGATGTAGTTGCATTGGGAGTTTGTGGAATTCACTTCCACAGAGAGCAGTGGGTGCCAGGGCACTCAATAAATTTAAGGAGGAGCTAGACAGACTTTTAAATAGTAATGGATTGGAGGGTTATAGGGAGCTGCAATAAAGTGGAGTTGAGTCTGAGACAAGATCAGCCGTGATCACATGGAACGATGGAGCAGACCCGAGGGTTGAATCGTCTCTTCCTGCTCCTAATTCTAATGTTCTTAATGCTGCAATTCACATTTGCAAAATAAGAAAATTGGTAATACGTAGAGATCAACATCCTTTGATTTGTGGAGTCACTTGGATTACCAAACTCTCAAAATTTAGATGTTGAGATTTAAAATACTGCTTTCTTCCAAATTAAAACTGAATCAATTATGACAATGATAGTACTAATTATTATAAAAACAAAATTCAATTTATTTGCCTGTTTGACATAAATTATAATAACGCATACACGAATTGTAAAGCTAACACTCACAATTCATATATAATTTGAAATGTGATTAACAAAATTTGTTTGAGGTGTCACAATTAGGAACAGGGAAGCATGAAATATTGAGAGATCCAACTCCTGATTAACATCCAGCAACTCCGGCAGAAAGTGGAAGAAGAGGGATAGGCCCAAAATTTACAACTCTTCAAAGAGCCACCACACAGACGTAATTGTATGAATAACCTCCTTCTGTGCCGTAGGATTCTTATTCATCCCCAAAGTAACAGTTAAACAGTCAATACTCCTAATCTAAGTCTACACCCACTCGGTCAAAGTGCCAGAACTCTGAAACACACTCCTGCCTGAGTCACTGATTTTAGGAGAGGAAGGACAAAACATTTAGAGGGAACAAAGAGAAAATTTGATGGGGTAGGGGGGAAAGCATTGACCTTATCAAAGTTTATCCAAGTTTTTTTTATTCATTTGTGGGATGTGGGCATCACTGGCTAGACAGCATTTACTGCCCATCCCTAGTTGCCCTTGAGGTGGTGGTGATGGTGAGCTGCCTTCTTGAACAGCTGCAGTTCACCTGCTGTGGGTTGATCCACAATGCCATTAGGGAGGGAATTCCAAGATTTTGACCCAAAAATCACCGTGAAATGAGCTATTAAAGATGCATAACAATAATTACACATCAATCTTTTTGAAGGAGTACAGACGATTTCTTCTTAGAGTTCTGTGCCCGAAGACAAGTCCAAACCCCAGTATTGCTTTAAAAAAAATAGCTACAGCAAAGAAACTGATCATTTGGTATAATTGCACTATGCTGGCATTTTAGGGATCCCTTGAGAGATCTTTTTAATCAACCTGTTTGGACCACTGAAGCAGGTAGGACTCAAACCGTGGTTTGCTGGCTGAGAAGTAAGTGCAATAGCACTGTACCACAAGAGATCCCTAAAATGCCAGCATAGTGCAATTATACCAAATGATCAGTTTCTTTGCTGTAGCTATTTTTTTTTAAAAAACAACATGCTAAGTTGTGTACACCTCTGGAGCAGATATTTTCTAATTAACCTGTTCAGGGATGTTATCGCATACGTCTGGAGCAGCTTTCTTAAGCCCAGGTCTCCTGGCTCAGAGCCAAGAACATTACCACTGCACCACAAGAACCCCGTTCACCTAAAGAGCAGACATTTCCTAACCAACCTTTCAGTTTAAGTTCTTGCATATTTCTGGTGCAAGTGATACAAAGTCCAATGAGCATCAACTGCTCTCAAGCAACACTTGGATCTATACTGTTTGAGCCTTAAAGGGACTTGCTTTTCTAACTCTGACAGTACCGCATTGTGTTAAATTTCCAGAGGCAGAAGTTGACCTTTAGAGGTCTTCCAAAAGTGACTACACTTCATGACTAATCCTAGGTGGTCAATGTTGACAAGCTATTTTGACTGTAGGGGCACCACTTTTGAGCTCAATCCACTTTTACTTAACTTCTAAAATATACAATACAATTTTCATGACTTTTATCATAAATCCTATTGTAGCAATAATTACACAATAATAGTTTCTATAGCTACCATGGCCACAAATAGCAAACTAATTTGGAATGTCCCACTGCTGTCCTTAGACAAAATTAGTACATTAGTACGAAAACACCAAATGGAAAAAGAACATAAAGCAAATATGCTTTAATTGAACAGTACAATTTTTGGGTGGTGTCCTTGACTCACAATCCCACATTGATCTGATCACAACCAACATCACTGACAAGGTTATGACTACTGCTAATTCATGCTGGTTCAAAGTAGCCTCTCCAGACATTTTGGAAGGGTAACCTACAACTTAGTGGTATTACTAGCCATTTCTTCTCAGCTGAAATGGGCAATGCAAAATGTTTTCACGCCCACTATTAGACATGACTAGACTTCTAGTGACAATTATGTAAAAACAATTGCAGCACTCACTGATATCTGCTTACTTACAAATATAAAATTAAACATTTCTGAATGACTCTCTGTACAGAGAGCAATAGGTGCTATGATTCAAATCATAATAATTATTTTTAAGATTTTGTTTGGATAGAACCAGATAAAAGCACTTCTGACAACAGACAGATTCCATGGCAATTGTCATAATACAAATCCAAAATGTAACAGGAAAGGCACATTAAAATAACAATTTATTTCACAAACGTGAATTGGACCCTCATTAGGCAACACTATATATTTACCAAAATTATGGACAAACGTGATAATTGTTTCATCTCATGCCACAATATATCACTGAGAAAACTGATGCATCCTCATTAATTATTGCCATTAGAGTTCTGTCCTTAAATGCAAGCAGCAGGGACCAAAGATAAACTTATTTCAGATTTGTAAATAAGAATTAGCAGCACTGACTGCACAAAATTTTCTTTGCAT